TTATAACAGGAGGCTGAGCAGGACTTTGAAGTCCAGGGTTAGGATTTTAGATTTTACTTTAGGTACAGTAGGATGCCATTGAAGGGTATTAAAAAGGCTGGTGACATAATTTGGGTTACAATTTAAAAGGCTGGCTTGCCCGAATTAGACACATAGATCAAGAAGATGTGGTATATGTACACAGTGGAATATTACTCCGTCATCAAAAAAGAGAAACTCATGCCATTTGGGGCAACATGGATGGAGCTGGAAGGGATTATGCTGCCCAAAATAAGTCAGAAGAAAAAAGATAAATATCAAGTGTTCTCCCTTATATGAGGAATGTAGAGAGACCAAACAAAAGGTCAAGAAAAAGTTACAACTAGCAAGCTGGCCACAGATCCATAGCAAACAGCAAAGGAGGGAGAAGGGGGTTTAAAACAGGGGAGGGGAGGACACAAGAGAATACAGTGATGGTTCAGATGATGTGGTGGGGGGAGAACCTGGGGACTATAGTGCTGTGAGAACAAAAAATTAATAAAAAACGGGGGAAAAAGAAGCCAGAACACATTATCTAAATAAACAAGTAAAGAAAAGGCTGGCCTGCAGTGACCCAGATGAGGGGGTCATGCTAGAGGCTGGGTTGGGGTGCAGAGGGATGAGTACAGTGTGGGGTTTATACCAGGGGCTGAGCGCGCAGGATTGTTGGATGTGCTGGATGTGGGGGGTGACAGAGGTGTCAGGAATCCCCCCAGGTTTTTGCCATGAGCTTCTGGGTGAATTTATTGATTAAGGATGACCAAGGGGAGAATCATGTGGGTTGACAAGTCAACAGCCCTGATTTGAACATGTTCAATTTGATGTGAAAACTAGGCTGGAGATGCCACCTTGGCAGTCACCAGCATGAAGGGGCTGTGGTGTTTCACGCGTGTCTGCAAGTCTGTCGCCGCTCCTCTGATGGCAAGAGATGAGCTCCGCGCCCATCCTCTTGAGTCTGGGCTGACCTCGGTGACTCGGTTGTACCCAGTAGAATACAGCTACTTCCAAGCTTAGGACAGAAACAGCCATGCAGCTTCCATCTGATTCTCTTGCAATGCTTGTTCTCCAGAGCCTTCTCTTGCACATGCTTCCGTTCAGTGCCCAGTCGCCAGGCTGTGAGAAGCCGTAAGGGAAGGCTGTGGGTAGGTGCCCCAGTCACTGTCCCAGTTGAGCTGTCCTTCAACTGTCTCAGCCCCGCTGCCGGGACCTCACCCCTGGTTTGGCTCCAGGACATCTTCTATCTCCCAATTTTAGGGCCTGACCTTTCCTCTGCTAAACAGGAGCAGAGTGTGGCTACCAGGAAGCATGCCCGTCGCCACAGAACCCCTAGCCCCGTGGAGCTTGGAAATGGACCCTCCATTCCCAGATGTTCCTTCCCACTAGATTGAGTCTCCCTAACTGAGGTCGCCGGCACTGTGCAGCGGGGACCGGTCATCTCTGCTGTGCGAAATGGTCGGGGCATTTGCTTTTGCTTTAGTCTTGTTAATAAGATGGCACCTTGCATCATTACCAAAACCTCTTCATCCCTGGGGTGAGAACTTTAGAGATCTACTCTCTTTGCAACTTTCAAATACGCAACACCATGTAATTCACCATGGGCCCCATGGACAGTCCCCCCCTCCCCAGGACAAACTGCCTTGATGACTGGAGTTTCGGACCTTTTGACTCATGCCCATCTCTCCGTCCGGCACCCCCGCCTCTGGCAACCGCAACTCTGGTCCCTGTAGCTGTGAATTTGTTTTTTGCTACTGCTGCTGCTGTTTTGATCCCACATGTAAGTGACATCATGTGCTGTTGGTCTGTTATGACACACACCTTGATGGCGCAGCCTGCTGCACACCCAGATGGATGGTATGTGGCCGCCATCCTACGTGCGGTCTCACATTGGCACGTCATAGTCGTGTTCCCCATCGGTGACTGTCTTCTCTGGATCTATACCCAGGAGTGGGGTTGCTGGGCCCCACAGTAGCTCCGTGGTGACCCCCGTTTCCGAACATACAGCGAGTGGACGAGGAGTGCCTTTTCTGCACATCCCTGCTGGTGCGCGCGCTCATGAGGGCCACTGTCCCTGCGTGAAGGGAGCCGCGATGCTGGCGGCCTGCATGTCCATGATGCTGAGTGAGGTTGCGCACCTTGGCCTGCACCCTGTTGTGTCTGTGGGAAAACAACTGCTCAGGCTCCTTGCCCATTTTACAAAGTAATTTTTTTGTGCTGTTGCGCTGTGTGGAGTCTCTGTATTGCTTGGGCGTGAATCCTCTGTGAGCTCTATGGGTTTGCAAATATGTTCTCTCACGCAGGGGTTGCCTTTTCATTTAGTTGATGGTTTGTTGTTTTATGCCATTAAATTTGGAGTGGTTTGTTGCACACAAAAGATGCTTAAAACGTGTTCATTGAAACCCTCAGGACAGACGAGATCATTGAGGAAGAATGTAGGGTGAAAAGAGAGAACACGCTGGGAACCTCGGCCCTTAAGGGGTGGGAGAACTTGAAGGAGAAAAAACATGAGAAACAGAAAATGAGCAGGGGAAAAGGTGGGACTATCAGGAGACTGTGGTTGCGTGGACCCAAGGAACAAAGCAGTTGTCAATATGTCAAGCGCCGCTAACAGACCAAGGAAAAATGCCTTGAGGTTTCGGGAACTGGGCACTGGTGACGGAGCAGGAGCTGCTCCGCTGAGAGGAGAGAACAGAATTAGAACTGACTAGAGGAGCAGGCGTCAAGAGTGAAACAGGGACTGGCTTCAGACAAGGGGATGCCCCCTTGCCTGTGGCAGAGGTTTGGGGGACAGGGTGTGTGTGTGTTGGGGGGGGGGTTCTCTGAGGCCTGCTGATTGGTACAAGAAGTTTAGGGAGGTTCCCTTTGAGGGTATTTTCTCCCCTAAGCTAAACCTTTGGAGGAAAAAACAAAAGGGGTCATTTTTGTTCCCAGTTTGTGCCCTTGGCATACATGGGGTGGGGGCTGCCTGGCATTAGCGCCCCCTTAATCTTCTCTATGTAGAATGCAGCTTCTCCCATGCTGACACTGGAACTGATACCCCATCTTATAAGACTGTGCCACGTGGAGCCCAGCCCAAGGATATGTAGGGGGTCAAGTTGAGGAGCTCCCTGAAACAGAGTCTGGCACCTGCAGCCCCAGATTTCACCCCAGCTGTTCTTACTTAGTGTCTCATCAAGTTCTTTTGAAGCTGCTGGCCCATCTGAGCTGACAGGCGACCGAAAGACAAGGTCTGTGGTCTTGAGTTGGGCTGGTGGGGGGCTCCCAGATGTGGTGACAGTCTGGACAGAGTAGCTCTAGTCTGAACCCTATTTACTAAGGGAGAGACTGAGTCTTGACTAGGGGAGAGACTGGCCAAGTACCACTCAATGATGCGGACGGGATTGAGATCTCTGAGGCAGAACACTCAGCCTGTGCTGCTCTCTGGAGGGAAAGGCCAGTCGCCCTGTTCAACAAGGGCGGGGCCTTTAGCCTCACTCCAGCATGTGGAACATGCAATGTTTTCAGGCAAAAGGGAGCCTCTGTAACTAGCTGTCGAGACTGCAGAGTGATCCCTGCCTCCAATTCTAGAGCCTCTCATAGAAATCCCCTCAGTTACTTTCTTCCAACTCCATTTCCGTTCTCATCTTTCCATCTCCTGCTGGATCTCTTGGGAGGATTCAGAGTTCCAGGGGCCCCTTCCCAAGCCCAGACAGGGAGGCCCGTGAGGGCGTCTTGCACAGATGCATCGCAGATGGCCCAGTGGGAGAAGCTGGAGGCCCCGTAATGCCTTCTCGGCCCTTCGCGCTTTGGCGCAGGAGCTGACAGATCACAAATGAGCAGCCCCCGCCCCGAATACGAAGCCCACAGGGCAGTCATTTAGGTAGGAAAAATCTTCTAAAGTGATTTAAAAAGAGTGCACCCGGCCCCAGATGGCGTTTGCACTGGTGTGGAAGCCGCGTGCGGCTTTCATTGCCCTGACTGTGGACACGTCCCCCCGGCCTCCCCTGCCCTGTGGGCCCCGCGGCCTCGCAGCTCCGCCCCGGGGCAGCACTCGGGCTCCTCCCTGGGCGCCCACTGCACGGGGCGTTCCCCCTAGAGGCGGGAGACCCGCCAGGGTCAGGGTTCTCGGGTGTCGTTGTTTTCAGAGGCAAAGTCCTCAAGGTTCACAGGGTTGTCCGGGAAGAGAACGCTTACTTGTTGGCGCCAGGCAGTGTGGCGAGGGGGGCTGACCCGCAAGCATCCCACCACGGTCCTGGGGCGGCGGCTGAGCTGGTCGGGGACCGGAGCTGGCCGGGCGGCCCTCACGGCCAAGGGCCGGGACACACCTCGGGGCACGAGGGCCAAGGGCCGCTCTTACTTCAGACAAGAAAACCATTTTATGTGGCTCGAGGGGCTTTCCCAAGAGGCCCCTGCCCTGAGGTGGCTTGTGACTTCGAGCGGATCTTATGAAATTATCTCCCGATTTGTCTAGTCTGCAAGACACACGGTGGGCCTCCGTCCGCCGGCGCACCGAGCAGCCTGACGCTCGGTCTTCCTTTGGCTAATCGCTCGCCTAAGGGAAATAACGGCGCACGGAAAAGAAAGCGCTTTTTGAATCGCAGTGACACCCCTTTCTGTATTAAGGGAGGGGGCGAGCCTAGCAGAGAAGCGGTTTCGGTGGCTCCTGTCCCGTCCGGTGACGGGACCCCGAGTTCATCAAAGCTGCTTTCACCAGGGCTTCTCCCTGGGGCGCTGAGGGCCCATGCCCGGGGGACTCGCTCTTTCCAGGGTATTCGTGGTGTTTAGTGGAAAGGGTGGCCTGGGAGTGCGGACAGGAGCCGAGACGTCGTCCCATCTGGGAAGAAAAAGGGTCTGCAGCCCAAGTCCAATTCAGAAAGAGTTTAATAAACAGCCGCTAAACATTGCACCAAAGCATTTGGAAACACGATTTCTACGGAGAACAAAGGTCAGACTTCCACTTTAAACCCTGAAGACAGTCATGAACGGCCCCACCCCCACCCCCACCCCCCACAGCCACGACACGACACTCATCTATTCGTGAATTGGCCTACAGACAGTCTGAGGAATAACGGGACCGGCATGCGTCATCCCAGCGATGGCAAGGAAGCGAGGGGCGGGGAAGGACGGCTGAGAGCAACCGGCAGCTGATGGCAGGCCCCTTGGGAGGCTCATGGAGGGTGGACGGGGGGGAATCTGCTTTTGGCGCCATCTGCGGCTTTACCTCGGGCTTCTGGATCCTCTGGGCTACTGGCTGGCGCTGCTACCTTCAAATTTCACACTCCCTGGGGCCGTGACTATCAAAGGAGTCCCCTGGGGTGGGCCAGTGTGACATCCTAAAAATCTTTTTGGTGTCCAGCCAAACTGCATTTCGGACCCAGCAGCCATGTTGAGATTGTGCTGATGCTGAAGTCAGGCTGGGCCTGGCTTCTCAGTCCCATTTTGATTTTGGCTCAGGATAGGCCTCTACAGACACCGGTAAGGAGCCTAGGCGAGTTCTTCAAGCTTCTGAGACGCAGCCCACCTACCTCATGAAACAGTCACCATTCTGCATGCCCAATCTCCCTTTATTTACGTTAAGAGCGAGTGGCCCATAGATAAGATATTATCAGACTGGCAGAAGAGCTAATGATTAAGTCTACTCGAAAATCGACTAGGCTCTGATTCATCCCCTAGGATTGGTGTCAGTAGACTGCCAGCCGCCCCGATGTGTGAGAACAAAGTCCTGGGCCTGGCAGGGTACAGAGGCGGCTCTGACTCCCGCTTGCCCCGGCCTTCTCATTCGAGCCAGACCAGAAGCCTCAACTACCAAGCAGCCCGAAAGTCCTGCCCCACCCAGTCTCACTGCTGCCCGGGCCGGGAGGCTGCTTTCCCATCGTCCCCTCTCTAAGCTCCCATGGATGCTTGTGTAGGCATTTGGCCTAGACATTTTTGTTTCTATTTGTCTCTCTTATGAGAACTATTTGAGCCTTTTCTGGAAGAGGTGACGGGCAGTAGAGTCCCATTTAAGCAGGACCCAAAGGGCTCAAGAGAAGAGGATTTCCCAGGGGAGAGGTAGGCTGGACGTGGCGAGCACCAGCCATCTTGGTTCTGCTTGTCTTGGCCACCTATGGGAGACAGTGGGGAGCCCCGTTGTCCCCAGAACCTCCAAGCCCAGAAAGAAGTGGGGCCCGGGCTCAGAGGTTAGCACTGGCTGCTGCCTTTGCTACCGGTTCTCATGCCTACTGGGCCCGCTGCTAGGGGAGTTGGCAGGCAGGACCCTGGGGGTAGCCCAGCCTCATGCCCTAGTGATGTAGAATCTGAAGCTCCCACTGTGGGGGGAGGCGCCTGCTGGCTCTGCAGTGGGCACAGTGCCACGAAATGCATGCAGTGCCCTTGGCTGGGGGAGACCAGGGTTAGGATGGGTGACTGGACAAATGGCAGTGTTTGGCTCTGATGGGGCACGCTCAGCCGTGTTAGAGGGACGAGTCATTGTCCGTGGTGGTATTTTTCACTGAGAGTCATAGCCTGGCAGAGCGCTGGAAAGAATCCTGAAACACATGAAGGGGAGCCCTGGGGTTCGGGTGCCGGGTGCTTCCTGGGGTGAACGGCACTCTGGCTGCTGCTGCGCTGCCCCGCCTACTGCTTGCGGATCATGCCCTTGATGGCTGTCTCCCGGTTGACGTACGTGGCCCAATAGACCAGGTTGAATATGGCGAAGAGCACAGGGAAGATGATGCGGGAAATCTTGTCGACCTTGCTCACGCTGTTGTAGGTCTTGGTCTCGGGGATGTCCTGCACATAGGTGGTCTTGGGGGAAGCAACAATGGTCGGGGTGGAGGAGGCACTGGGAGCCGCGCCCTTGGAGATGGTGGAGAACTCGGTGTCCTTGGCCAGGTTGATGGGATAGGTGGTCCCCACGATGTTGAAGGTGGTGCTGGTTTTCTTCGCCGGGGCTGCTGGTGTTTTCTTCTAAGGAGACAGAAAAAGAAGGGAGGCAGAAAAGGTGATTAATTCATGCTGCAGAACACCTCCAGAGGCTGTAGGGAGGGGACATGAAGTCAGTAGCACCAAGTTGCCAGATTTGAGCCTAGGGCTGGTGAAGAAAACATGGCCAAGTCGCTTCTTTTTGAGCTTCAGTTTCTTCACCTGTAAACTGAGGCTCAAAATATTTGGCAGGGCTGTTGGGTGGATCAGATGAGACAATGGTGGTAGAAATCACTGGAAAACTATGAAATGCAGGTCCCACGTAGGGTCCTGAGTAGTCCTGCGACCTGACCCTCACAGCAGCCCTTGGAGGTGGGGGGAGGGGGGTGATCTCGTTCTCATTTGACAGATGAGCAGCCTCAGCCTCGGTGGCAGGGCCCACACCAGCCACCAGGCTCTGACTGTCACCCGGGCTCTATGGGCACAGACACTGTCTGGGTACCCGAGAAGCAACAACAAAAGGCCTTGGCCATCATCTCCAGCATGGAATGCAGGTCGGTGAGCCCGAACATCAGAACAGCGTCTCCCCCTTCATACCCGCCAGGCTTTTCACTCCTGCAGCTGCAGGCGGGAGCCAGGCCTGGCGAGGACCCTGCCCTTTGGAGTTTTTGTTTTGTTTTCTCAGAGTAACAAAAACACGTCAGTGGGAAACAGCTTGCGCGCCCCCATGTCCTCACACACACGCCTTGTGTCTCCCTGCAGCACCCGAGCGGGAAAGGAGACGAAGCTCGGGCCTGGGTCTGAAAGAGGCTGAGGAGTGTGGGGACAAGGGGACAAGCTGGACTCAGAGTGTCCTGTGCGCTGCGCCCCCCACTCAGGCAGTGGGGGAACGGGGGCATGAGCCTCAGGAACGACTGACGAGGTGATGCGGGGTGGCGTCCTGCCTCACACACGTCAGCTCTCCCCTGTCCTGGGGGCACTTTGCTTCCCGTGTGTTTTCCTCACTCCTTCACTCTTTTCCCTCGTGGGGTCTCTCCCGTCCCCGCTGCGCCCTTTCTCTCAACCTGATTCTCGGCTTCTTTCCCCCGCTGCCCCTCCCACCTTCACCTCCCCCTCAGCCCCCGCCGCCCTAATAGTAACCCGTGCCAACACTGCCCGACTCTGCTGGTCAGCGCCGGCTTGCTGGGGGATGACGAGGCCCTCGCTCAGGGTTTCCGTCCCCGAGGGGGGCTGGTGTCATAAATGAACAGACTACCGGGCGCTTTGGAGGTGCTACTGTTCCCCTCTCCAGAAAGGAGACAGAACTTGCGGCGTGCAGGAACCCCGCGCAGGCTGTAAATACTACACAGGACTCGTTTATAACCAGCAAACTCGCCGCGGGAATAGCACCCCGCTGCTAAGCGGCTCGCTTTGCAGGAAAGGAACACTCGACTTGTTTGCCTGCTTACTTATTACATCGCTTAGTAATCTTTTTTCAAGGGTAAACAAAAACAAGCTACAAGCAAAACAAACGAGCCTTTGTTAGAAGCTTTCATGCGGTTTTGTATTTAGTCACCTCATTCTGAACGGCAAACGCTCTCCTTAACTCCACAGGCACTTTGTATTCTGGAGGTGTGGAGAACAGCAGCTAATTTAATTGCAGATTTTTTAAGTAATAAAAGGATATTACCTTTTCATTTCCCTCACCCCTTCCAACATTTTAGTCAGCCACTATAGTTTACTGACATTGTCAAAGGGGGAAATCAAAGCAAAAGTCGTGTCCCTGATGACTGGCGACCCTGAGCATCTTTTCACGGGCTTGTTGGCCATTTGTTTCCCGGGAGAAATGTCTATTCAGGTCCTTTGCCTGTTTTTCAATTGGATTTTTTGTCAGAGCACTGATTTGCCTTTGGCTCCCACACACCACGCGCCAGCATCACTCGTCATCAGGGACACGCATCAAAACCGCAAGATGCCACCTCACACCTACTAGGATGCCTGTCACCAAAACCAAAGCGCAAGTGTCGGTCAGGAGGTGCGGAAACCCTGCACACGGCGCCGAGTATGACATCACGTGGTTGCTATGGACAATGGTATATCAGTTAAAATTAAAACTGCAATTGAAAAATGGCCCTACAACTCCACTTCCCCTAGGTTTGAAAGCACACTCTGAGAGAGACCTGCACACCTATGTTCACAGCAGCATAATTCCTAATAACCAAAAGGTGGAAGCGATGACACGTCCATAGAGAGAATAAGCAAACTGTGGTCTATTGGCACAATGAAATATTACTCGGCCTTAAAAAGGAAGAACATTCTGACGCCGCCACAACGTGGATGACTCTGGCTGAGTGAAAGCAGCCAGACACAGAGACAACTGCTGGAGGATTCGGCTCCTATGCCATACTGCGAGCGGTCAGATTTGTAGAAATAGAAAGTGGAATGGTGGTTCCCCGGGGGCGGGGGAAGGAAGGGTGAGGTCTTGTTTTATGCGGACAGAGTTTCAGTTGTGCAAGGTGAAGAGTTCTGGGAAATGGGTGCACAGGAATGTGCACATAATACCACTGAACTGCACACTTGAAATAATTAAGATGGCAAGTTTTCAGGCTCTCGAGTGAGGAAGATGAATTAAATCAAGAACGAAAATATAAGGAGGAAAGCACGGGAAACATTCCGAGAGGTCTAAATAACGAGTCGAACACATTTAAAAGCGGATCTGGGGAGGATGGCAAGACAATTGAAAGGGGATAAAATGAAGGCAGGAGAGAAGTAACGCCTTGTGCCACTTTCCTGAGAGGGTGGGAGGTATCCAGAGCGTAAGTGCAAAGTCGCTTGGGGCCAGATCACAGTTAAGGAAAGACATTCCCCATGGGCTGAGACCACCAGTTTACGGGGACACCTTACCCGATGCTGAGATCATTTATTCCCCAGAGAAAAGGCCCATTTACAGGAATGTCCCAGAGATTTAGAAGCCATTAAAGAAACAAAACTTTTCTAAGATTTAGAGGGAGGTTGAGCATTTTCTCTAATGAAAAGTAAAATATTATTCTAGAGCATTCAAATAGTCTTATTTGGAAATAAGAAAATGAGCCTAAGAATGACTGTGCTTTCACAATATAAGTAAACATTAATGACTATTTAAAGCAGTTCTAATAATTATCAATATTGTTTCCCGTTGTATGGAACTACCACTATTTTACATCCTTGTTAATGTCTCTGCACTAGAGGGTTACTCCCCTCAGGGGTGCTCATCATAGCTCTCCCACCACCAAAGCACCCATCATCCGCGCCTATAGTCCGTGGGGCTCTCCTCCCCCACCTCTTGGGGCCTTCAGAGCTGTGGTCGGCTTTCAAGGGTTGGTTTTAAAGTTTGTCTGGTCCTTTGATTTCTCTAGATTCCACAGAGATGCAAAACCAGATAGTATTTATCTTTCCCCTTCTGGTTTATTTCACTTAGCATCATCCCTTCCAGCTCCATCCATGTTTCTGCAAATGGCATGCGTTTATTTATTTATTTTTTGATGGCTTACATACACACAGTCCAGTGTAGCACACCATCTTGATCCACTCATCTGGGGCATTTGGGTTGTTTCCATGTCTTGGCTATTGTCAACAGTGCTGCTAGAAACACAGGAGTGCAGGTGTCCTTCCAATTACTGTTTTCGTGTCCTCTGGGTAGGTTCGTAGGAGTGGAATTACTGGGTCATATGGCAGATCATTTTTAGTCTTTTGAGGAATCTCCACACAGCATCCATGGTGGCAGGACCAGTTTACATTCCCACCAGCAGTGTGAGAGGGTTCCTTTTTCCCCACAGCCTCACCAGCGCTTGTTTCTGCTTTTTTTGTTTTTGATGTAGGCCTTTCTCACAGGTGTGTGGTGGTGGGTATCTCATTACGGTTTTGCTCTGCATTTCCCTGATGAAAAGTGGTGATGAACAGTGTTTCACGTGCCTGTTGGCATTATGTCTGCTTTGGAGAAGTGCCTTTTTAGCTCCTCTGTCCATTTTTTTAATTGGCTGTTTGGATTGTGTGTTGAGTTCTTTGTAGGTCTTCAATCTCAGCCCCTTATTAGATGTATGATGTGCAGATATTTTCCCCCAGGTGTCTCTTCGTTTTTGGTCGCTGTCTCTTGCTGTACAGAAGCTTTTTAGTTTGATGTAGTCTGGCTGTTCGTCTTCTCCACTTTCTTTGCTGCTGGAGAAGAATCCGCAGAGATGTTTCTGAGGTTATGTCATGGAGTGTTTTGCTTAGGTTTTCTCCTATACATTTTATGGTCTTACATCCAAGTCTTTTACCCATTTTGAGTTGGTTTTCATGTCTGCTGAGACAATGGTCTAGTTTCGTTTTTTTTTTTTTTGCACATGGCAGTCCAATTTTCCCAGCACCATTTATCAAAGAGCTTTCTTTGTCCCAGTGTATACACTTCACTCCTTTGTTGTAGATTGTCTATGATTATTTTTTTAAATGCAGAGAATTGTATCTTCATGTTAATTTGCTTTTCTTTTTAAATTTCAAAAATTTAATCAAAATAATATTGTATATAGTTAAAAACAAGACGTCTGATGCCATCTGCTCATTTCTTTGTAGGCAACATTTGCTTCCTTTCTAGAATTTTGTTTAGACTATTGCTTTAACCCTGGTTTTCTGAAATTTCATGATGATCTGCCCTTATGCAGGCCCATAGGGGCACTTTGAATCTAGAGGCTCATGCGTTCCCATTTGTAAAAATATATTTGTTAACTTCCTGCCTTTTCTTTTTTCTCCTCACTCACTCAGCAGCCCCTGAGTTGGATGGACTTCCTGGATTCATCCCTAAGGCTCTTCTTACCTTTCCTTTGACTTCTCCATTTCTTTTCTTGTTGCCTTACTTTTAGGGAGATTTCCTTCAGTTTATTTTTCTGCCACTCTATTGAAACTTTTATTTTGGCGATTTTTTTTTTTAATTTCTCTTTCTTAGTCTCTGATTTCCGTTTATATTTTAGGTATTCTTCCTCTTGTTTTGCGGATATGATATATTCACAAATCTAAGATAAAAGTTAGCTTTGTTCTTCTCAAATTCTGATGAATTCCCTAAATTATCTGTTCCCTTCATGATGAGCTTTTTTGTTTTTTTCTTTCTTTGTTTCAGTCTTTGCTGTTCTTTCCTATTACAGAGTTTGTTTTGGCGTCTGTGGTATCCTAGTATCACTTGGTCCCATAAAAGGTATCTGTCAGCTCAGGGTAACTGAGCTGGGCTGGTTGAGCGGGACTATGACTAAGATCAGTTAGAAGCAGACCATCGTATGGGGTATTCGCCAAGGTGTCAGAATGCAGAAGTCTTTTTCTGGAGACCTTCAGTTCCAGAAGAGAAACTGCTGCTCCTTGGAAAGCATGTACCTGCCTGTGGACACCACACACAGTAGGCAGGCTCTGGGGCCTGGACTACTCTGTACACAGGCTTTGAACTGTCCCTTCATTGCACCCCTGGCTTTGTTCTCTGCTGTACGAGCTCCTCAAACACTGCATTTCTCCAGAGTTCGACCTTACTTCAGCTTGAGAAATCCGTTCTTATTGTTTTTCCAGGTTCATTCTTCTAAAAAAACATGAAAATATTTTGTCTGATTGAAACCCCTTCTCCAGTTCCCCCATGCCATGGGTTCACACAGGCTTGCTTGCTTTCATCTGAGTACGCTCTTCAAAAGGAGCAGCGATAAACACACGTCATTGCTCCTCAGAAGCCCACAGTTCGTCTGTTTTCAGGATGCTCTTTCAAAGAAGTCATTTGTCTTCATTTGAAAATGAGGTTTTGCTTCCAAGTACTTCTTTTCCTTTATAATCTCTCTCCCCACATTTTCTCTAGTGCCTGGTCACAGTACAGGTCAGAAATAGATTTTTAAATCATTGATTTTTTTAAAGTTTCAGGCTCAGGCTCAACCATTCTAGCTTTCTGAAGCAAAAAAGCTGTAATATGTCTGCTAAAGGAATAAAAAAACTGAAATAATTTATAATTAAATTCTAATATTTTTACTATAATGCACTTGATTTTTTCTTGTGGGTCAGTGCTGCTCACTGTAGCGGTGCTAGGCCAAGTAGAGCAGGCTCAGGTTAGAGAACCATTTTTATGCCTCACATAGTTGTTTTCCCCAAACTTCATAACTGCCTTCTTTTAGATAACTTAAATGGAATGACCATGGAGACGGGGCGCTAAGGAGAATAACTAGACCCCCATCTTTGCTTAAGCGATTCTTGTTCTCTTTTGTTCATTTTCAGTCCTGTTGGAATTGGTCATCGGTTTTGACATCCACATCTACAGTCTCTTAACAATCTCATCTAGTTCTCACTCTGTCTTCAAACCACCCCCGCACCTCTTTCCAGCCACAAAAAAAAAAAAAAATCTACCAGATTTTCACAAGGCATCCGTGACAGCCTTTCAGATACCTCAAATTAGCAATCATCATCCCCTTGAGACATCTGTCCTTCCTCCGTAATAACCAAACTGGAACAGTGTGCTTTAAACATGGTCTAATCAGTACAGACTAAAAGGGGGGCTCAGGATTTCAGTTTTTCTAGATAATTCTTAGCTCAGATTCAAATCAAATTTGATTTTTGAGGGTTACGCCACATACAAGGCTAACATTAAGTCTCTGTAGTCCCTGTATCCCAGCTTATTTGTAATGTGCAACTGTTGTAAGATTTTCTATCCCAGAACCATATTTTTTTTTGTATTTATGGATAAGAGTCCAGGAAGGCTTTCCTGAAACAAAAACAGCTATGAATCTACAAGGCTTAAAAGGCATATGTAGTCCTAGGAAAAATTTGTACAGAGAGATCAAGATATATCCTTGAAAAGTAACTGGAATTTGTAAATAAAAGACACATTCTAGGCAATAAAATCAAGTCACCCTATTGCGTGGGAGACTCTGAGGCTGCTTTCGAATTTTGGCGTAACAGCATTCGGGGCTGGAGCTGAGTACAGCACGCAATGGCCATGTGACGTCAGAGGAGAGACGTTACCCGTGAGTCAGACAACAGCCCAGCTACAGTGCAAGTATAAGCACTGGTGACAGGTAATCTTACACAGGCAAGACAGTAGGAAGATGGCCCCCATGGGCCCTTCTTAAGCTTCTAGAGGATCGTCTTGAGGTAACTAAGCAATGAAAGGAAAAATGGAGAACGGGCTATTTTGAGAAAAGAGCACTTTTAAATGTAGACTGTAACTAATCAAGTCTAGGAATCACGGCTACATAAAAGCACTAAGTGCTCTGTGACTTGACACTGCAGACATTGTGATGTAGCAAAGCAAAGTTGGGGGATGACAGGGCCTGGCAGAGAGGGCGAGGGGCTCGTTCCCTCGCATCGTGTCGAGCCACAGGGGTCAGCTGCAATGTCAAGCCTTGAAGGACACAGAGGTGACACCTCGACTAAGTATAAAAAAAGCATCCAAAATGCCCTATGGTAGAGTAGGTGGAGGCAGTAGAAACACGTGTTTCCTCATAATCTATACCAAGTTAACAAATTCTATCTAAATGAATAGTTAACATCTAGTCTGGAATTTTGCCAAGTCACTGGTTAGTATTCTAAGGAATATAGCTCTTCCTCCATTTGAAAAATCCTGTCTTTTCCCCCTAATTCTTCAAAGAGGGCTAGAATGGTTCTGGGACCACAGCTGCTAGTTCTTTCGGCATCTTTGGGCATTCGCCCCTAGAGCTAGAGACTGGAACACTTCGAAAGCTGCCGGGAACAATAATCTTGATTTAACTGTATTCATGTCTTATCTCCAGCAACTGCAGTGGGTTTATTGTTTTTTCCTTCCTTCCCATCCACCCGCCACCCCAAGTAACATTTATCCCACTTTAACTGGGGCCCAGAACCTGCGTAAGAAGACCAGCTAGCTAGGAAGATGACGCAGGCCAGTCCCTGCTCTCAAGAAGTGCAGTCCAGTGAGGGGGCAGACAAATAACTCCAATACAAATAAATGCTTTTAATATCAGGAGCACGCTTCCCTGCCAAGAAAAGCTAAAGCTATCTGGATGCTTCTGAAGAGGCTCTGTGGACAAAACAGCATTTTTATCTGGGTTTTGAAGAATGAGTAGATATTTACCAGGTAGGAAAATATCATTCCAGGTAAAAAAATCAGCCATGGGCGGATGATTTTAAGTGATGATAACGATCGCTTTGGTGGGCGTGTGATGGGAACATACTGGAAAGTGGGGGGATGGGCATGGCTCTAGCGAGTGTTCTCTGGGTCGCAGAGACATTCCACACTGTTGGCCCTGAGTGGCGCAGTTTGGGCCCCATCACAAGACACCGCCCTCTGTGGCACCTGCCCTCCAGGGAACACTCCACGCAGCTGAGAGGCACTCCCGTTGAGAGCGGGATTGGTGACCCCAGTGAAGAGCGCACAGCCCCGGCCAGAGGGGCGCAGGCTGCAGGCTTCTCACTCCTGGTTGCAATCCAGCTCTCTCAAGGAGGGCCTCCCAGCCTTGACCATCGCTTAGCTCACCTTCGCCTCCAGGGCCTCAGGTACCTTCTTGCCTTCCCAGGCCCAGCTCCGTTTGGTGAAGTAGTTGACAGTGGCGAATTCAATCAGCGCAGAAAATACGAAGGCATAACAGACGGCTATGAACCAATCCATGGCCGTCGCGTACGCCACTTTAGGCAAGGAGTTTCTGGCACTGATACTCAGTGTGGTCATGGTGAGCACAGTGGTGACGCCTGGGGGAGAGAGGACAAGCTGCAGTCACTGGAGATCGCATGTCCCATGAGGTTACCACTCCCTCTGTGAGCGGCAGCACTAAGCCCCACTGGAAGCACCCCTTTAAAGTGAGTAGCACAGAATGTCACCCAGCTCCTCCTGTCACCGTCACAGCCTGGTCACCCCTCCTCCCTGTGGCTTCCGGAGGAGTCATCCATGGAGCCCGTTTGGTTGTGAAAAGTGACAGAAACCTCCCCTGGGGCTGGAGCCGCCCTCCTGTAGCTCCCAGCCCGAGGCCCGATTGCACAGCGCTGGCCACGCTGGCCGGCCGGGGTGATGCCGTTTCCTTGTGGGTGTGTCCCTTTCCAGACAGGGCCCAGTCCCATCCTCCCCTGTTCTGGTAGTTCTCTTCTCAACAGCCCAGAACCGAGCCCAAGCTCAGGACAGGGTAGGGTTTTCACTTCCCTGAGCCCGGGCGCGCGGTAGCAAGGCAGCACGCCAGCGACAAGGCGTTTCCACACCATCTACAAGGGGCTGCCTCGGTGCTGCTGGGCGCCACAGCTCACCCAAACCAGCCCAATAGCTAGTGCTTGTAAGTTTTTGCCCAAGCAGAGCTTGCTTTTAGACGAATCGATTCTTTTTCTTGGTCGGCGGATCGGGTAGGATGCATATAAGACTTTATTTCCCTCTTTTCTCCCTGAGTGGTACATTCCCTCATTTCCTCTTCCCTTGTGAATAAACCTTGTATCAACCTTCTGTGGGCGCCTGCAGCGGAGTATTCATAAGTCCCTTGTAAGGGCGCGGGGGTGAGGACCCCCAGCCAGGCACCCTGTTTTATATCGGGGCTGCCCTGTCGCAAAATCAGTGTGTCTAAGCTTTCTCTTTATTTTCAGGTGTTTCGTTATAATGTGTCTGTGTCTTCTCATTTATCCTACTTGGGTTCATAGGATTTCTTGCAATTGCGGTTTTTTGTCCTGTATTATTTCTTCAAAAATTGCTTCGCTGTCGTCCTATCCTTCTCTCCCTCTGGGATTCCAAGTAGGTCTAAGTCACGTATCGTCTCCATAGATAATGTGTCCATTCGCTAATACATTTCCCCCATCTTTTTTTGTCTTTCCAGGTTTCACAGTCCCTATTTTCTTCCAGTTCATAGGCTCTCCCTGTACCTGAACCTAAACCGCTGAGCTTTTCATCCACATTGTCCAGCTTTAGATTGTCTAGTGTGCTCGCTGTCCTGGACTTAGATGACGGAATTCTCAGGTTTCTTTTCTCTACCTACATATAGTCATCATTGCTATTTGAATGTTTGATAGATTATCCGGAGTCCTGGAGGTATTTTTTTAATTAGGTTATGATTTATATCCAAATAGTTCACACACATCAGTGTCTGGGTGAATGTATACAAGCGTATAACTACTACCCCAATCACGATAGAGAATATTTCTCCCACACCAGCAAGGTCTCGTTTATCTAGTTTCAGTCAATCTATCACCTTAGGGGAAGCACTACCTGACACCGTAACTTTGTTTTACCTATTTTGGGATTTCATATAAATAGAATCATACATATTATTTTGTGTCTGGGTTCCTAGCTTTACAAAAATTTTGAGATCTGTCCATATTGTTAAGTGAATCGATAGTCATTAATCCACCATACAAATATGCCATGATAGGATTCATCCATTCACTTGCTGATGGACATCTGGATGGCTTCTAGTTTGGAGCTTTTATGAAAAAGCAGTTATGAACATTCTTGTATAAGCCTTTTATAGGTACATATATCTTCATTTCACTTGGATATAACCTAGGGATGAACTACTACTTAGATGTCAGGGTAACTGTATTTTTAACTTTATGGGCTCCAGCTCCTTCCTTGGTGGTTATTCCATTTTACAACCTCAGCAGCACAGATATTTGGATCATCAGTCTTTAATTTCAGCCATTCTAACATTTATGATGTGTTCTTGCCATCACGTTGTCACTTTAATTTGCATTTCCCTGATTTAAAATATTTTTATGTGCTTATGGGCGTTTATACACACACACACATACACACACACACTTGGTGAAATGTCTGTTCATGTATTTTTCCAATTTTTAAAATTGGAGTCTTAGTATTTTATTATTAGGTTGCAGGAGTCTTTATATTTCTGGAGTAGATGCTTTGTCAGATCCGTACGTATATAAAATATATTCTTCCAGTCCCTGGCCGGCCTTTTGCATTTTCTTAATGTTATCCTTGATGAGTGAAAGTTTTTAATTTTGATCAAGTCCCATTTATTCTTTTTTCTTCACTGTTAGTACTTTTGTGCACTAAGAAAGCTGCAAAGATACTGTCTTGTATTTAGTTCTAAGAGCATTGCATTTGTTAGCTTTTATATTTAAGACCATGGTCGATCTCAGATTAACTCTCCGCAATGCACCATCTTCTCGCTACAACAGCATCAACGCATGTGATTACCATCCCGTGTTTAGTTCTTTTTCCATCTGGGCCCTTGAGTATTTCCTTTAATTTCATATGTGCTCAGATCTGAAAAAGAGTGCTTCCGAATATTTTTCAGGCTCTCACATTTCTTATATTTCCCAAAATGGGCATCTTTAACCTACTCCCTCCACGTCACTAGCAGTTGCCTTTACTTAAGATCATTACCTAGCCAGCATAGCAAAAAACAGTTCCTAGCTGCCATGCTACCCGCACTGGCATAGCATTCACCCGGATGCTGCTCCTGCTCACTCCCCTGGGATCACACCTTCTGTTTGTTTCTTTTTCCGCTATTTTGCAGGTTACTGTTTCTGCACCTCCGTCTCTTCCCCTGCTGACCTAAAATGCTGCCCTTCTGTGTGGGTACCGCGCACATCCAAGTGTGTGCCTCATGGCCGCAACTGCTACAAAGACCGTCGTTTAGTCGACTAAAGGAGGTAATTAACATTTATCGCCTAAAAAATCTTACAGTGGGAAAAACAGGCAGATCATGTTTTATATGCTTTAAGTCTCTCAGGGAAAAGTGTTAATGATATGCAAAGCTCTTCTTAGACACCAGTAAATTTAAACTATGAGAATTTCTCTGATTATAGGTACTATTGCAAAACCCTTCAAACTTTGCAGCGCCTTTACTGAATGTCAGATAGTTCGTACTTTAAAAAAAAGCTAGAGGAAAAACAGCAGACACCCATACCAAAAAAATAAGTGGGTCACAAGAAAGTGTTGTCAGCTCCTCAGCCATCACCTCCCCAGCTCTGTGCACTCATGGGTGCCTGAAACAGAGGTCCCAGGACTTGGCTCCTGTTAGTGGTCTCCCCCCTCCACTCTGAGTGTCCCTCACGTCCCTCCCTCCCAATCCCAAAGGCAGCACTCACCAAACACCGTGCGGGCGGGGACAGACTCTCGGTTAAGCCAGAAAGACACTTGTGACAGGATGACAGTCATGATACATGGCAAGTAGGTCTGGATCACAAAGTAGCCAATTTTCCGCTTCAGATGGAAATGGGTTGTCATGACGACATATTCCCCTGGAGAGAGAGAAATCGGGTGGATGCAGTTGGATAAACATTGGGGGACCAAGGTGAGCCCCGATTCTGTTCACGAAGCTCCTTAACCTCACATCCCAAGCACGGCGTCCCGGTGCCTCCTAGATGCGACCTTGCAGGAAGCCGGTGCAGCTGTTACTCTCACTGCCTAGGCCACATAGCAGAGGCACAGAGGCTGCGCGCGCGCCCTAGGTAACCAGACAGGTGAGTGGTGGCGCCTGAGGGCAGGTCCAGAGGCCCAGGCCCTGCCCCTGCGCTGCTGCAGTGGACTTGCCAGGAGAACCAAAAGGCCACCGAGCAGAACATGGGCTCCAAATAGGGCGGACGCTTACTGGTTCTTCCTGCGTAGCATGCCCCTCTGAGGGCTTCAGGACCATTCCATGCCCTACGCCCCATCCTGCGAGTGGTGGCGGCACTCGCCCCGCCTTGCCACATGCACTAGGCATCGTCTGCCTCAGCTTTGCTTGCCAACAGCGTGTCAGAGTCAAGTCTCCTCTGGGAATGACTATCTTCACCCCACTTCTAGCTCTCATGCTCTCCTGGCTCCCTCCTGCCTCGTGACTGTCAGCCTCCTTCGCTGTTTCCCTTAAATTTCTAAACATTTGAGGATGTCAGGACTCAGCGCTCATCTGTCCCTTGCACGTGCCCTCGCCACTCTGGCATCGGCTCTTGTCTTTCCCTCGCGTCTAAGCTCTGATAATGCCCCAGTGTCTAGATTTGCCCTCTCAGAGCCAGGGAGTAAGGCTGAAGCATAAAGAGCAAGAAAAGTCACCTAAGGATGGTAAGAGAAGTAGTTCCTCTTTGCCACCACCTTCCCAGCCCTAGAAAGCTCAGCTCCAGGTCTGTGGTTTCTCCAGAGGGTACAGGGTATCAGGCTCTCCAGGATTCCCCTGCAAACCCACTTCTATCTCTGCTCATGGGTAACACCAGGGGAACTGGCAGGGCCAGAGCACTTGGGGGCATGTGGATCAAAGAAGGGGCTGCAACTTGAAGCCACCGCCAGTGCACAGTCCCTGCCAGCTGCCTCGCCTGGTCAGAGTCCAGCCGTGGCTTCCCAGGAAACCAACTCTGAGCGCAGCCTGCAGCTCTGGGGACAGGGCACGGGAAGCCCAGCCAACGGGGTAGCTGTGATGGGCAGAACGCCACTGGGGTCCTCACCCGACAGCGGCTCATGCCCCGGGGATCATGCCTCCCACACCCACCAGAATGGTGACTGCAGGGGTTCAAAACCCATCTGGTGCCTCCCTGGTGGCGCAGCGGTTGAGTGCTGGGCTGCGAAGCTGCCCGCAGCCTCTGCAGTGCCAGTTCGATCCCCGGCTGCTCCCCAGCCACCAGCGAGGGTCCCACATGGCGCACAGACCTCTCCTGCCGCCCGCTGCTCCCCTCAGCAGTGTACTTCGGTCCTTCTGCCTTCTCTGCTCCCCGCTCTGGCTCTGGTGAATTCTCTCACCCTCCCACACTTCTGACTGTACCCAGTGCTTGTATAAATAAATCTTAAAAAAAAAAAAAAACACCCATCTGCCTAGGCACCCACCAGGAGGGTCACTGCCAGGTTCAAGCCTGGCAACTGGCAGCACTGCCCCACCCTCACCCAAGAAGTACCATCACACCACGTAAGGCTCCAGCCCCCACACCAGCCTTTGAGCATGCCAGGGCTATCCTGACATCCACAGCAACTTGGGGCGGGGGTATCCTGAAGCTGCATATAGCTAGTCCCACTTCGGGCAGAGCTCCCCGGTGGCCCTGCTCTGTACAGCAGAGCATGATCCACTGCATCGTGAAGAATGGGAACATGGGCAGATGGCCGGCACCGACCGAGCTAGAATTTCTAACGATACCTCGCCCAGCAAAGGAACAGAGCCCGGGACAAACTGACTTACTTCAGGCATGAATTCTACCAAACATTTACTGAAGAATGAATGCCAAGCCTCCTTAAACTAGCCCAAAAAGTTGAAGAAGAGGGAACACTCTCAAACTCATTGTAGAAGGCTAGCATCACCCTGATACCAAAACCAGATAAGGAACACTATAAGAAGTTACAGGTCAATATCTCTGAAGAACACAGGTACAGTGAGTCAACAAATACTAGCCAACAGAATTCAATAGCACTTTAAAACTTTAAAATGATGATATAGCACCATCTAATAGGATTTAGTCCTTAATGAAATGATGGTTCAAATCAATAATAGAATGGATGATAAAAAAATATACGATCATCACAATAGATGTGAGGAAAGCATTTCACAAAATTCAACATCCTGTTAGGATACACAACTCAGTAAATCAGGTACAAAAAAAATGTATCTCAACATAATAAAAGCAATGTATTCCAAGTCCACAGCTAACATCATACTGAATGGACAAAACTAATATATAGTCCTGGGAGTCCTAGAAAGAGCAATTGGCAAGAAAAGGATATAGTAAACCCCCAAATAGTAAATGAAGAAAAACACCAGTCAGTTTGCACATGACATGGTCATAGATAGCCCTAAAAAGTCCACCAAAAAATACGTTCAAATTCAGAAAGGTTTCAGGCTACAATGCCAGCACACAAAAAGCACTTGCATTTCTATATACTGCCAACACGTTTTCTAAAACAGACATTAAGGAAACAACCCCATTTATAATATTATGAAAATATAATGTGTTATTATATACAAATAATGTGCTAGCATCCAATAAAATACTTAGGAACAATTTAACCAAGAAAGTGAAATTTAGAGGTATATAGAAAACTACAGCACACTGATAAAATAGATTGAAGACAACACAAATAATCGGACCCCTATAGACATCATTCAAAGATTAACTTGATTAATAATTAAATGTCAGACATGAAGCCACTGTAGTGAAACAGAGCGCAACATCTCGACATTGGTTTTGGCAATGACTCTGTGAACGTGGCTCTGAAAGCACAGGTTGCAACAGTCAAATAAGCACAGCTACAGCCCAGTAAAAGGCTTCCATGCGGCAAAGAAAACCATCAGCAAAGCGAATAGGCAGCCTGCAGAATGGGCTAAAATATTTGTACGCCACATATCTGAAAAAGGCTATTACCCGAGATGTATAAGGCATGCCCACAACGCAACAAGAAATGATGCCAGCAGGTACATAAAAGGTGCCTCTGCGTCACTCGTCACCAGGGAAATGCAATTCCAAAGCCAAGACAAGCCACTCGCAGCGGTCAGATGCCGAGCAGGCGAACGGCAAGACGGGACAACTGCTGTGGAGAGCAGAAGACAGGCGCGCCCTCGTGCACTCAGCACGGCTTCCCTTAAACGTAACACTGATTTTTCCATCTCTGTCCTCTTCTCTGCCAAAGTGGAAACTGAAACTCTGATCAGATTGGAAGATTTTTTCCCAGCTTCCCATCTAATTCCCTCCCTGTCTCAGCTTATTAAGCTTATTAAGCACCATCTGTATTGTGGGTGAAATACTCCAGGGTATAACATAAAACATAATGCAATGTATTCACAAATAACTTATGTATGGATCTGAAATACAGAAGTTTAGTAAATGAACACTTTACATAATTGAAAATATTTGTGTAAAATGCACGCCGCGCTGGCCCCTCCCTGGCCTCGCCTGCCTCTGCTCCGTGTGTCTCATGATGAAGAACGACCCCGCTAGGTGGGCAAGGAAGTTTCCCCAGCTTTTGCGCTCCAGCCTGTTAAGTTCCATCATGCTAAGTGTGAAATATTTGAGAATACAATGTAAAACACGTTCACTATTTCGCTAGTTTCAAAGGCTGTAAAAGACACAAAAGAGTTTCTGCAACAACTTGGCAAAATAATTCATTATACTTCCCGAGTGGATAGATTTTCTTAAATTCAGGTTGGGCATTTTTCCATCTCTCCATCGGAGCTTCTACTTTATCTCAGCTCCTGTATTCTTTTCCTGTCTCTCTCTGATTTTTCTTTGTGTCTCTTTCACTCGCTTATTTTCTGCTTCATCTTTAACTTCCAATGCTACATGCCTGAAGAGATAATATGACATCAATAAAACTATTTTTTGACAGATGGCCAAAGAAAGATGGAGAAATAAGATCATACATCCAAATCATCCTCTTAGAAAATTAATGCAATAATTTGCCAAATGAAGAAAGATGGAGTCAGAGTTGAAAATCTTGTTAACAACTAGCCACAGATTTGGAAGGAATTTCATCCATTTATTTAACGCACGTTTGAATCTGCAACCACAAGCTGGAACCCTCTGCTTCAAATTACTTCATACCAACAACTGACAGTATCCTGAGAGAAGCACTCACATAAAGCGGAATGTCCATGCATTGTAGGTTTTTCCTGGCCCAACTTCCTGCTAATAATACGCTGGCCCCCACACAGGTGAGTATTATCGAAATGCAGAAAGAAATGCCCGTAATTTAGTGTTATGTAAAAACAATTTGCATGTGTGCGAGGTACTGTTTGTGGAGAGATGGTTGCTAAGTAAGAGGGTATCAAAGGGCATAAGCCCCCTCCGAAACACCCATCTCGCTTCCACTTCAAGGAGCTATAATTGTTTGTGTGTCTGTCTACAGATATTATCCCTATACTAATATATATTCCCATGCTGCTTGGTTTTCTGTGCTTTGCTCTTTTCACTCAATATATCCTGTAGGTATTCCCACTGCACGGTACATAAAGAACTTCCTCTGTGCTGCTTAGAGCTGCGTAGTATTGAACTGTGTGAGTAAATTTTAATATATTCAGTCACCTCCCAGGGGTGAACTCAGGACGAACCTGAATTCACTTTGCCCGTGGACACAACAAATCCACAAGTAAATATGGATTATTTACTCAAAAGTAAACCTGAGAACCAGATAAACTGAATTTCCGATAACAAAAGATAAAAAGGCAGCAGCACCAAGAGAGGTAGGAGAGACAGCCCTCCTTTCTAGAGTTTGCCCAAGGAAGAAACTCCACCCTAGGTGCAACAATTTACATATGGGGGGTGGCAACACTTGGATTATGAACTGCGGAGATGGAGCCAAGTCCCCGGATTCCTGACATTTCAGGCCGGTGAGAAAGAAGCCCAGGAAAAGCAAAGAGCTGTAGGGAATGAAAGGATCCAATGCTGTAACAATGGCTTGAAAAGTGGGCCTCCCCTGGTGTTACAGCGGTTGAGCGCTGGGCTGTGAAGCTGCCCGCAGCCTCTGCAGTGCCGGTTCCATCCCCGGCAGCTGGCGAGGGTCCCACATGGCTCCCAGACCTCTCCTGCCGCCCGCTGCTCCCCTCAGCAGTGTGTTTCATCAGTCTGCCTGTTCTGTTCCCCGCTCTGGTGAATCCTCTCACCCTCCCGTACTTCTGACTGTACCCAGTGCTTGTATAAATAAACAAATCTTTAAAAACAAACAAACAAAACAATGGTCTGAAAAGTGCCCACACCCTAGACAAATGCGCCGCAATCACCACGCTTGCCGTGTCTGCCCGCCTGAGACGGGAAACTGTCGGGACAGTCCCCTGAACAGAACTGCTGGTGGGCATCCCTCTCGTCAGCTCACAAGACCTTGCTAACAGCAGTACTGGTGGGCATCGTGTTGGATGCCACTGGTGGGCATCGTACTGGAGCCTGTGGCAAATCCCAAGAAGATCTCTACCAACATATTCACACTATGGAATACTACTCTGCTGAATGGAAAGATGAAACGCAGCCATTTTCACCAAAATAGAAGGAGGGCCTTATGTAAAGTAAATCAGAACAATAAAAACTAGACATTTACATAGCAGATAATTTACTACAGGGAAATACAACAACTAGTGGACATGACAGTGCATGGGCTCTGAGATTAGGAGGGAGGAGCGAGGAGAAAGGGAAAAGGCCTGGGGGGTGGGGAATTCATGGCCAAGCTAAATAACTTGCAGAGGATACACAGGTGGCTGCTGGGGCAGGAGGTAGGGACTTAAACCTAGCATCCTCTGACCCCAGAACCAGAGAACCTTACATATGCAGAGCTATCTTGGCCACCACTGCGTCAAGGATCCATGGACAGCCCCACTGCAGAGAGAACACTGAGGCTAAGGAAAGTAAAGGGACCCAGAAAGCCTCGTCCCTAAGAGACCCCTGGACAACATGAAGATGAGTAATACTCACATACAGGGTTTCCAGAAGGACAACCGAAAGAGCCAGAAAAATTAAGTGAGGAAATCATGACTGAAAACTTCCACTGTCTGGGGAAGGGTGTAGACATTCAAGTTCAGGAGATCTAGAGCGTTCAAATAAGAGGACCCAAAGCGGGCCATACCAAGAGACATTAAAATTAAAATGCTAAAATTTAGAGAGAATCTGAAAAGCAAAGACAGGAAAAAAAAAAACAAAACAGCTTGTTTCATGGAAGGGAAACTCAGTAGCTTTTTTCCAAAAGAAAATTTGCAGGCCAGAAGTGCTGAACGGAAACAACTGCCAACCAGCAGTGGTTTGCTTGGCAAGGCTATGGCTCAGAGCTGAAGGAGAGAGCTACATCTTCCTGGGAAAGCAAACGCTAAAGGACTTCCCCACCACTGTGCCGGCTCGGGAAGAAACGTTCGCGATGCTTCTCAACTGGACAGACAGTGACTAATAACAGGAAACAAGTAAACACCTCACTGGAAAAGGTGAAGATGGCATAAAAGCAGTTGGTCAATCACCTGTGAAGCAAGAGGGAAGGATGGAAGACTCGTAAACTAGAGCTACAAGAGGGAGTTCAGGGGAGAGAGAGATGGAAAGGGAGACAGGAAGGATTTGGGGGGGCAAGCAGGTAGAGTGTGGGGCTCTGAGAAAAGTAACATGGTTGTCAAGGTGGAACATCGTGCACATAGGATGTTATGCCTGGACGTGACAGTCACCGCAAAGCAGAAAATACACAAAAGAAAATGTTTTTTAAAAAGGTCCCTAAAGATGTCGGTGAACAGAGCCTGCAGATAGCAAGGGAAGGAAGCAAAGAAAAGGCCACACGGGACACAATGAAGAAAAGGGCAGTGAGTGGAAATTCTTATTCTGTTCGTCTTTTCAGTACCGGGCTATGGAAAGACACAAAACCTCAGCAGCCGTCACTAGTCAGGGAAAGGAAACAATGAAAAGCTGGTGGCATGGGGCGGGGGGCCGCGGGGTCTCGGTGTTTGCAAGCAGAGAGAGGGACACTTGGAGGGAGCGCCCCCCGTCTCGCCAGTGAACGTGATAAGCTGTCATGAGTATTAGAAGCCTCTGCAGCACGAGTTCGACCCCCAGCCAGGGAGCTCCCCACACGGCGCAGGAGACCTCTCCTGAGTCCCCGCGGCTCCCCTCAGCAGTGGATCTCGGTGGATCCGCCTGTTCTGCTCCCCGCTCTGTCTCTGGGGCGTCCTCTCACCCCCGCACCCCGCACCTCTGGCCTGTGCCCCAGCGGTTGTACGTATAGATAAATAAATGTTTAAAAAACAAAAATGAATCGTTAAACAACAGAAAGCCCGTGGGCGGGGGGCGCGCACGGAGGACTGCCTGGGAAACGACGGGCCGGGAAGAAGCTGAAGCCCAGGACGACGGCGACGGGGCCCCACGGCGGCCTTCCCGGACACGCGCTGTCCACGCGCCGGGCCAGGCTCTGCGCGAGCGGCTCTTTCAAAGCGGACAAACTCACCCGGTCCCGGTCGTGGCAGCGGACGCGAGGCCACCGGGCAACAGGTGACCCTGCTGCGCGCACCTGGCGGCGGCGGCGCGGGCCGTGGCTCCGGTGGTGCTGCCCGGTGGGGACGAGCTCCGAGCTCGCAGGTGCAGCGGTAGGCGCGGCAGGAGCGGGCGCTCTGGGCAGGAGGGGCCGACAGCCCGGCTGGGGGCGGGGCTGGGGGCGGGGCTGGGGGCGGGGCTGGGGGCAGGGCTTGCCGCGGGGACGGTTGCCGCGGAGCGCTCAGGGCCCGGGTCCCCTCTCTACCCCCAGCCGCCCCCCCGACACGCTCAGGGGGTGGGAAGGCGGAGGCGGGCCTGACCCGGGCCGTGGGAATCGGAGCCTCGTCCCCCACCTGGCACCCCTGCGGGCCCCGCACACCCCCCGAGCACCCCATCACTGCACACACGGTCCGCACAGACGCTGCTCGCGTCCCGCGCCGCGCCGCCCCGAGGAGCCTACGTGAGAACACGGACCGGTGGCTGCGCTGGCCTCGAAACGCCGCGGAAAGAATTACCTGTGCTCGAGCGGATGATTTCGGTCCCAACGACGTGGCCCAGCAGGTCGTACTGATTCAGGCGAGAGCCGTCCTGCGCCACCTCCACGGACTTGTTCTTCCGAGAGTCCAAGAATAAACCACTTCGGCCGTTGTGTAGGCATCTGCAGCACGAAAGCGTCAAGACAAGGTGAAGGGAAAGGAAAATGAGCATCCTTGACACCAGCCCCAGGCTTGCTGTAAGAAAAATAGCCAGAAATGTACTGAAATGTTCTTTAATAAATGCTGACAGGAGCATGTGAGATCAGGTTACAAACAAACACTGGGGGTAACTTTTAATTTAAAAATGAAAAATTTCAAAATTAAAAATAGTCATAATGAATAGATTGCAATTTCCTTTTGAAATTAATTACCCCTTTGATTTGCCAACGAGAAACCCGCCACCTCGTCTGCTGCACCAGGTGTTTACTGTCAGGCCTCTGGAATCCCAGTAGCAAGCAGACACTTCCGTGCACATTGTTCTCACAGGTGGAGGGTAAGGGAAATGCTAAGGGAGAAGGTGGGGTGAATGGCACTCAGTGGCTTAAAAGAAGAGTGTTGCCTTTCCCCCAGACATCACTGGCTCTGCACGGGGGGGGGGGGGGGGGGGGGGGGTGGAATTTCTGCTTGGGGTGAGCATCTGGCACTAACCCAGACGCCCACTCTCATCCAGGGCAGCTGAGCTCCCATTTCAGCTCCCCTTGCCGGCTTCATCCAAGCTCTGAGCCGTCTGCACTTCAAGTCAGTGGCGGTGTCAGCTATTCATGTCCAGAATATGCTCAATTTTTAACTTTTGCATAAAACAAATAATCCTTAGCGACTCTACCAATGAACTAAGATAAATTCCATTTCTCTACAAAACCTTCCAGGTTGGAACGAACATTTCACAAGCATCTGACATAAACACACGTTCTGAGGGATCTGCTCATGTTCGGCTTCCCAGGAGCTTTTTCCAGTACATTTCCTGATTGCTTGTAATGGGCACGATGCTAAGAAGGTCTTCACTCACATCAAAATGTTCTTTAAAATCATGCTATGTTTTATACCTGGGCTCTCATGAGCTGAGGAAAAAATGCCACAATAAATCTAACTTCTCCACATAATATGTGCTGTATGTGATCTCAGTCATTTCTTCAACACACAGACAAGAGTTCCAATTCAACATAATTTCTGCTGTGATCAATAGGTGTTCTATAAATGTGATGTCTCGGAGACATTCTGCTGCCCAGGAAGGTTTGTTGTTTGATGCAGAACTACATTTCCAGCACAACACTAGGGTCTACGTTCAGACCCCAAACCTGCTGTACCTTCAGTCTGTTGTTATGTTTATTAAGATATTCATAGCACACCTTTTAATATCAATTATAGTTTTTATAACACATTGCATATTGCTGCTGTTTTATTTTTTCCACAGATGGCATCTTTGTATGCACACCGAAGGTGCATACACTGTCTTCACTTCTCTTAGGAAACACTCTTCTCAGTTTATTTCTAATTTTGATCGCTAATGGTACAACTATGTCACTTTCCTCTGAATCCAGTGTGTTCTTAATTCTACTATATGTAAAACAAGAGTGCAAGCAAGCTGAGTAATGACAACTGACACTGGATTCTGTTTTCAGGGAGAGCGTGGAAGGTGATGGAACTTTCAGGAGTGGGCAAGTATATGGCCATCACAAGGGACAGCCACTACTCAGCCCCAGGTGGTTGCCCGATGTGGTCAGATAGTCTAATGTCATAAAATAAAAGTGTGGAATTTTATGGGACACTTGCCAGTTTGGTTTTTTTAAAGATTTAATTTATTCATTTATACAAGAACCAGGGTACAAGCCAGATGCGTGGGAGGGTGAGAGGATTCACCAGAGACAGAGTGGGGAACAGAACAGGCAGACTGACGAAATACACTGCTGAGGGGAGCAGCGGGCGAGACAGGAGAGGTCTGCCACGCCATGTGGGTTTCTCCCTGGCAGGCTGGGAATCAAACCCGCACTGCAGAGGCTGCGGATAGCTTCACAGTGCTGCACTCAATCACCTGCACCACTAGGGAGGCCCCCCAAAAGGATTTTCTTGTAGGCTCTCTTAAGCTGAATACCTGGAGCAGACAACCCTGAATATTAGAACCAAAAGCTCAGCACATTCTAGTCATGGATGTGGCCAACAAACACTGAGTGCTTTAGCAAAGTCACTGGGCCCACAGCAGCAATGGCATAATTTCTTTGACAACAATATGGTTTGTTGCACTCACTGAATTTTGGGTATTAAGTCACCTATGTTTCTGGGCTCAGTCCCATTTAAAGATAAAGTCCACGTATAAGTTGCTTAATTGAGTTTGCTCATATTCTGTTGATGTTTTTGGGGTCTATATCCATAAAGGATAGTTGTGGCTTTCTTTCCTTATGGTCTCTGGTTTTGGTATCAGAGTAAGACTGTCCTGATTAAGAAATGTTACCTCCTCTTTTATATTTTTCCAGATGCTGTGAAGATTAATTCCTCTGTAAATATTTCTAGCATGCAAGGGTAAATTCTGGGCCTGTGCTTTTCTTTGTGGGAAGTTATTAAATTACTGTTTAATCTCTTGTTATAGGGCCAATAAACATTTTTATTTCCCCCTTAATTTTAGTAGTGTGTACATTTCTGGGAATTTTCCCATTTCGTTCAGCCATCTAATTTGTTGACATACAAGTGCTCATGGTATTTCTGTACAATCCTGTTTATTTCAGTGAGGTCAGCGGGGAGGTACGAAAAGTCTTTCGTGCTTTTAGTCATTTAATTTCTTTCTCTGCTTCTGTTCTAAGTGCACTTGAGACTAATGTGTTTTCTGCTGTTTGCTGGAGCTCAGTGTGTTTGCATAGTATTGTTCAATCTTCTATTTGTATGTTGACTTTCTGTCTAGTTGTTCAATTGAAAATGGAGTATCGAAAGCTACACTATTATTGTGGAATCGTAGATTTCTCCTTTCAGTTCTGTTAGTTTTGCCTCATGTATTTTAGCGTTTTTTTTTTTTTAGAGGCATGTTTATTTATTTATTTGTTTGTTTGTTTGTTTATACATGCACTGGGTACAGTCAGAAGCGCGGGAGGGTGAGAGAATTCACCAGAGCCAGAGCGGGGAGCAGAGCAGGCAGAAGGACCGAAGGACACTGCTGAGGGGAGCAGCGGGCGGCAGGAGAGGTCTGCGCGCCATGTGGGACCCTCCTCCAGTGGCCGGGGAGCAGCCGGGGATCGAACCGGCGCCGCAGAGGCCGCGGGCAGCTTCGCAACCCAGCGCTCAACCGCTGCGCCACCGGGGAGGCCCATTTTAGCGTTTTGTAATTAGGTGCGTAGATTTCTATAATTGTATCTTCCCGATGGATCTTTTTGTCATTACAAAATCTTCAGACTTCTGCAGAATGAGGAGACCGAGAATCAGTCATGTTGACTTGGGTAACACGCCTCAGGTTTTTGGGAACCTTCAGTTAGAGTTTGGAGAAAGATGACTGGGGCTTCTATTGGGAGTCCAGAATATCTGCTGTTTTTTGTTTTTAATAGCACTGGGAGACTGCAGGAAAGCAAGCTCTACTTTTCAAAGACTCTTGTATTTGGTTTTTAGCTTTATGATCTGTGCAATTCAAAATTCAGCAGTGCACTGAGAGCAGTATCAGCCAAGAGTTTGATATCTTCTAGATCTCTGCTTTTATCATGTTAGCTCTGTGTGGTCATCCAACTACTGCTATTTCCCCCCTAGCACCCAGCAGTGCTACACCTGGGGCCACAGCTGAATTCTAAGTTGCCATCCACGGCACAATGTGTAAGTACCATCAGGAATGAAGAAGTCACGGGGCACAAATTCATCTATGGAGGTTCTGCCCCCTTTCCAGAATTTGTGTCTCTTCAATCCTTGTCGCCTCTATCGTTCTGGGTTTTCCTGCTGTTCGTGAAGCGCAAACTGTTTGCCCACAGACAACTGTGAGCAGAGTGAGAGGAACGCCCGTGTCATCTCAGAGGACATGCCCGGGAGGAATGTCCGCAAGTGTCCTTGACTCCTCTCTTTGTCTAACATGCTGCGTCTGATTCCCCGGAGGGCACTTTTGGGTCGCCCTTCACAATCCGCCCAGAATCACCTTCGCCTCAATCGCTCCGAGCTGAGCTATTATCTTTCATCTAAACTCTTGCCACAACCGCTTAACTGAATTTAGTGCTATTTTTCTCATCCTGACATTTTTCACACTTTTATAAAGATTCTTTTAAACCAGAAGTCAGATGGTGTAATTATTTTGTTCAAAATATTCCAATCACTCCCCATTTTCCCTCAGAATAAATAAAAGTGAAAGCCCGTGAGCACCTCACAGAACCCCCAGGACCTGGTCCCCTCCTTTTGATCTTGCCCCTCCTGGCCTCTCTGACGTTCTCTGACTCGGAGTTTACCTCTGGCTCTTCACCACCTGGCGGTGATTCCCCAGCTGCGCTGTTAACCCCTTTACCTCTTGAAAAGGTCTGCCCCAATGTCACTTTTTAAAAGTGGCCTACAGCGATCACCCTATTTTAATTTCAGTGGCCACCCCCACCCTCCACCTGCAGCACCTTCCCGTCCTCCATCTTGCCAGGGCGCGCCTCCCTTTATAACGTACTTTATACTTCACTTTTATATCCACTGTTTATTTCATCTTTCACCATCACTCTATAATGTAAGCGCCACAAAGGCAGGGGCTGTGTTTTATGCATGGATGCCTCCAGTCTCCTAGGGCAGAACCTGGCGTGCAGGAGACAATCTGTAAATATTTGACAGTGATTGAAAAAATCTGTCACGCGTAATTCTTCTTTCAAATGCACTTTCTACTTCAAAATACAGAGCCCAATCTAATTTAGACGTGATCTGCACAGCCCTTGATATATTGCTGTGATGACTCCCTTTATGCAACTTACTCGGAAATTCTTAAGAGTCCGAAACTCACTCAAATTCTGTTCAATTTTGATTTGTCTAATACATTTGGAAACAGGCTATGTATCTACTCATTCTCTGTCAGATTTACGACGGCCAGAAAGGCAATATTCTGTCAAAATGAGAAAACCTCCAGTTTCTGCCTGTCTGCCGTTCGCCACAGAGTGCTGCACAGACGCGAATGAGGAAGCAGGGAAGAGGCTTCCACAGACCGGATCCGCACTGTGCTGGCAGCCCGGTCCTTAGCGAGCCACCACTGTACCAGCTCAGTTCTGCCTTGTCTCTCTTCTGCATACTTCAGGAAGCAGATGTGCCCGTTTCCAGGCAATGATAGAGAAATTAGTGTGAAACGGTAAAGTAAGGTTTGGTGTCTAGAAGGTAACAGTGTGAAAGGCCAAGTCCCTCCTCATGCTCAGCTAGTGCGCCTCAGGCCCCTGCCCCGGCCCCTCCCGGACCCGATGAAAGGCCTGAGCTTCACAAATGACCAGGAGATGGAACAGGCCAACCCGTTTCGCTTGGAAGGGGGTCCGACAACCGGATGGGAGGAGATACATACAGCTTCCAAACTTGAGCGGGCAGGCGTGGACATCCATAGGGAAATCCTCCAGGTGCATGGGGCACTCGGCATGGATGGTCAGCCTGCGCGGAAGCAGAAGGGGACATGCACGTCAGCCAAAAGGCACGGATGGCATGAAGCACAAACCTGAGTTCCAAGTCTGTGCGAACACAAGGGCTGGCCCAGACAGCCGAGGCGGCCGCTTCATGCCGCGAGCGCAGGACTCACTGGCCTGCGCTGAGCTCCCTTCGCTCTCCTGCTCACAGCCTGGAACACCGGGCCTGATTCACAGCAGTGTAATTACTTCTGGAATAATCCTCCGCAGGCTGGCATGTGAGGTAACCAATCTAAAGACTGCACTGGAGAGGAGCCAAGCGCAGGAGACATCTCTGCCCCGAGAATGAATGGGTGTGACAGGCAGCCGCGCAGTTGCGGCCACGGCTCTGAAGGGAGCGGCTCCGGGTGCACACACGTGCGCGTACAACCCCCCGCCAGCAAGGGTCAGAAAAATCACAAAGGCACTGGGGGACATCAAAAACCTCAAAGGCCAAGCCGGAGGAGCTCACGCTCTGTAAAACAGGGACATGTCGGGGAGACCATGGGGGCCCCGAAATGGACAGGTATGGGGAACGATTCGCCATGCCCGCGAACTCATGCCCTGCGTCAGTCTGCCTGACATGCTACTTCAAGGCTGCCCATCGGATTGCTCTGAAAATCTTTTCAGCCTGAACTTTCTTGGGTTAAGTAAGAGCCTTTCTGTAAAATGGGGGCCCACACAGCAAGAGCACAGAGCTGGCAGGAGTCTGGCTCTGATGACCCTTCTGGCTACCCTGCCCCTTGTCTTTGTGGCAGACCCAGCCCCGCAGGGCCCTTGGGGTGCGACGCGGCCACCTCTCCACCCCGGCCCCAGCGGCGCCTCGCAAAGCCAGTGCTCAGGCGCGGGGGAGCGAGTCCACGCTGGGACGCAGCAAGCCCCAAAGCAAGGGCGTCCCTGAGGAGATCATCCCTCTCTTCTCTGCAGCCCTCCCCCTCCCCCGCCTAACAGTAAGAGGCTGGAACCAGACGCCACCGTGGCCTTGAAGCTCTAACAAATCCCTCAGAATCTGTAAAATCGCCCACATGTCGCAGACAAAGGCTCAATTCCCAAATCACCCTGAGCATCTGCCAACCCCTCGCTTATTCCTCAGACAGAAAGGGGGTTTCCTGGCTCAAAGATTTTGATGCAAGAGAAATGCGTCTCACCGAGAAAGCTGCTTCTTGTGCTAGATACTTAAAAGAGCCCATGAGGGTTTAATAAAGAAAACTGTTCCTTCTCCGCACTCACATTAGCATCTGCGAGATACCGCCCGTCATGAGCGATGCCAAGGGGACATCGCTTCGTGTCTACCGAGCAGTCCCGGGGACACCGCAAACAAGGCCACAGAAATAGATCAGCGAAGCCAGCCGCAGAAGGTGCCGACTCCCCGCGCGGCAGGGAGCTTCCGCATCACAGCTCGCCCACCGGCCCCCGTCCTCCGGCCCAGCCCACCTAACCACAGAGCGGAGAGGAGAGGGCAGGGGTTTGGAGACCGAGCGCTTCACAAGCCAAATCACCCTCTGCTCTTCGCTGGCTCTTCAGCACGCCCTAACGCCCTCGGCCTCCCCGGTCCTGCTGCCCTGGCTTCCTGCTCCCCGCCCCCAGCACCTCGCGGCGCCTCCCCGACCCCGTCGGCGCGTCTGCAGCAGAAGGCACCGGGGCCGTGTGTGGGCCGGACAGCCTTCGCCACGGCCGATGCCAGGAACCAAAGCTGCCTCCTGCTCCGACGACGGGGAGGGGCTGGTGTCGCGCGAGATCTGCTCTCCAGGCCGTGTTTTCAAAACACCCCTTCGTTATTCTTTTTTACCAAAGGCCCGGGACCAGGGGGCCAGGGGCAGGGTAGGAAGGGAAATGAGGCCTCAGCGCCACCGCCCCTCTCCCTGTTGCGTGTTTCTAGTCTGCACAGGAGCCCCGGAAGGCAGGGAGCAAAGGGGACTCCCACCGTAGACCCGGGGACCCAGGCGCCTCTGCCCCCCAGGACGGTCCTGGCGACAAGGGGGCCCTGGCTGCTCCCAAGGCACGGGCGCTGGCCCGGGGCATCTGCGGGAGGCCGCAGGCGGAGGCCCACACGCTGGCTCTGCGAGCCTCTGAGACAGGCAGGCGGTGGGGCCCTGAGACGGAGCTGAGGCCAGACAAGCACCTTCCGCACGGGAAGGTGTGGCAAGTGCACCGCAACCCTAAGGGGGAGGCCTTGAGGCAAGGGGGGCGCGGCAGCGGGTGAAGAGGAGGCCTCAGTGTGGGTGCCGCACGAGCCCTGGCTCCTGAGCGCGAGCAGTTCCTCCTCCGCTCCTTGGAAGCGAGACACGTGTGGGGCGGTTACTTGGTGCCTCTGTCTCGCCCCCACAGGACACATCTAACAGCATTTTCGAGATGAACACACCGATCAGGCCATTCTCACTACACGAGCCGCTGACACGACTTTTGGTTTTGTGTAGCGGCCACACAACATCCAGTGTTGACATCTGTGATACAGTGCTGGGCAATTTTAGAACTTTCTGGTAGCCCAGTGAGAACAATCTCTCAACCCACAAGCTGCCATATCTTTGTCTTCAGTGCCTATTTGCCAGGGAAAGCGATCCTTCTGGAAACGAAGCCGTGGTCCTCAAGTCTGAGCAAGACAAACCACTTTCTCATGTCTTTGCCCTTCTCCCTCCTTACCGCAGCTTCCCTGCCTGGGCTGTCCTGGCGCTAGGTGACGTCTGTGCTCCTTAAAATACAGGCCCAAAAGCTATACCTCAATGAAAGAGTAAAAATTTGAAAATGAAAATAAATCACTGGCTTTTTAACAACCATCCCACAGGAAAGCAGCCAATTCTTTTCAGATGTTTGCATTTATAATAACAATTTTTTTAAGTAGGGGCATAAGGTAGGAAAAACATTTCTAGAGGAAAAAAAGCTCTTGAACTAACTAGCCTTAATGAACAGAGGTCTAAATTTGATCGAGGAGGTGCACCCGCTGCCCAGTGCTCTCCAGCGTGTGCACAACACACCTAGGGGTGCGGGAAGGAGCCGCTGAGATTCAGAAGATGAGGGTCCCTGGACTTCGTGAGGCCCACTGTGGGCAACAGGTGTCTAGGCCTTTCAGCAGCAGAACAATCTGGTCTGCACTCTGAGGAATGTTATCTTTAAAAACCTGAGGGAAAGACTCCACTTCAGGAGTGGCTGAGGGACCAGACAGCCTGTTTCTTTAATTGTGGGGTAAAGAGCAGGATCCAGGATTTATGGTGAAAAGGAAAGAGTAAATCGTTCCTAGCCATTACCAGTAGAGGGTGAGTCACTTCAAAGACCCACCAGCAAATCGGAAGTCTCCAGGACCCCAGCTGTCTGAAGCCGCCCAGGAAATCCTGGAGCCACAGGCAAATGTCAGGGCGCTAGAAAGGTCGTGGCACCCCACTGAAGACCAGCACTTAGCATGCATCTAAGTTTTACAGGCGAGCGGCTCCGACCTCATTTTCTGACTCTCACACCCCCACTCTGCAGCTCTCTGCAAATCCTTGTGACTGAACCAAACTGCTGCGTGTTCTCTGTGCCACGCTGTCTCTCTCCACTGCCCGCAATGGCTTTTCTTCTTCATGTGTGCAGATTCCCTTCAGGTCCTTGCCCAAACAGCACATCTGCCACGATGCTTGGGAGAGCACCCTACAGGCCTAAGGAGTTCTCCAGCTCACAGAAATCCCAGCGCTCTGAATAAATACCTTAGTCTTGAGCGCTGTCAGGATAACGTTCTAGATCCTACATGGAGCTGCTCCTGCCTGTGCTGGCAGATCAACAAGCCCAAACCTGGGTGACTTTGGTATTCCGTGATCCTCTGCCCAAACCCCTAAATGCCAAGGCCTCTCTGCACCTTCTCAACCCAGATAAGGTTGTCTTTGTGGCCCCAGCCAGCCAGTATTTTCCATTTTGCTCTTGTTTGTTCTTTATTTAATAAACGCCTCCTGCTTCCTACCCACTTGCAGTTCTCCAAAAGGAGACTGTCCGTCAAGGGAGATACTTTGTTTCTGTCGCCTCATTTTCCCCTTTAATCATGTTTTAATACAACATAGGATTATCGGTATCTGTGTGTCTGTTTTCTGCACAGGACTGGTTATGATTGTGAATGTGGCCTCACTGCCAGGGAGAAAAATCTGCAGCCTAAAACATGTCTTTCGGCAAAGGATTGATTTTGTGGGAAGGGCTCTGCAGGCTGAGCGGGGGCTGCTTTGGAAAGGGAGAGTCACAGCTACTGTGTCCTGGAGGACCCCAGCTCCAGATCGCCTTCAGATGGAGACGGCGGGACTCAGCCTGCACACCTGCTTGCTGCGCCTTCCCCGTGGCCCTCCCTTCCGCCCCCACAACATCCCCAGTCTTGGACAAGCTACTCAAGATGGCATCTAAGGCTTCAAACATAACAAACGCTCACAAATGTGCTGAACGAGTGTTTCCAACAGGAGAAAGCCCAGCTAAGCTCAGGCGGCGCGCGCACCTCCTGCCCAGTGCTCCGGAGTGTTCTCTGCTGCGGCACCAGCTACGCAGCCATAGCTCAGACGTAGGGAGGATGACACACTGGAGATGCTCACACACCTTTATCACTAAATAAGACGTCACTAGTAGAAATGAAGTTCCTATATGTCCACGTGTGAAAACAAGAAGAGTTCATAAACGTGGGCCTGAGCCGGGCTCGCTCCTTCCGGCGTCGGCGCGAGTGCGGCCTCCGCTGCAGCAGGTAATGAGCTTGGCCGCATTTTTATGGTTGTCCTGAGGAGCCGAGCCGGGCCAGGCAAGGCTTTGTTCTGTGCTGCCCTAGTTAACAGGTATGCACCCTTGGGCAGATTCTTCGACGAAGCGACAGTTTTCCCTGGAGTCCGCATGAGATTTCCAAGGCTCCAGATGATAGGAATGCTGCACAAGAACTGCTGCTGAAAAATCCTAAGTGTTTTTTTTAGACCTTATCCAATTTGCACTTTTCACATGTCTGCAAGACAGACAGCAGCCACATTGTTATCGGGATGAGAAAGCAGATCATTTGTCTTGCAAAAGGTCACGAGATGAATAAATTTGGGGTCACATACAGAACCAGGCTATGCTTTTCAGCGTGGAGCCCAGGCCTCCCTGGATCAACCTGCCTGGGTGGAAGGTGACACAGCACGGTGTAAGGGAACCCCTGCTTCTTGCCTCTGAACCCTGCACCTCCTCTGTTCTGTGCTTCAGAACCAGCACCAGGGTGTCCCGCTCACACCGCAGCTTATCAAAGGCCTGTGTCGCGTTCACTTCTGACTAGAATAAAGGGCCCATCCGTTGGCCATTTCTGGGGGACTGACCCTGCAGTCTTCAGATGCTGCCTCCTCTGTCTGTCATGCGCCCACTTCACAGTTCCACATTCCGCCCGCCGCTCTCCTCTCTCCCGTCCCTTCTGCTCTCCTCCCAGACACCGACCGTCCTCTGCTCTTTCCCTCTTACTGTTACTCAGTTTCTCCGTCACCCCTGCTCCGCGTTCACCCTCTCATCTTTCTCCTCTGCTGCTCTCAGTCTCTGCTGTGTTCATTTCCTTTCCTGCCCTGCACTCTCTCTCCCGCCCATCTGTGCTTCCATGTTCACGCCGCCTTTTACCCACCCGTCTCATTACTCCACCCCTCAACCACCTCATCCCATAATGCTCTGCTCGGTCACGTCTACGCCACTCCATTCTTTTCCCCACCAGAGTGTACACTCGGATCACCTTGTCAAACTCTTCTCTTTTAAGCACTGTATTATAAACACGTCTCTCCTCTGCCTGTTCCTCCACTGTTGCTCTATTCTCACCACCTTCCCCACCATACGTCTAGCCACGCATACTGCTGCTCTGCTCTGTCCTCTCTGCCTCCTTCTTAACATTCACACCTAACCTCTTTACAAGTGCGGCTTTTACTAGAGCGTCACACCATCCCATCATGGTTTTCTCTGGGAACTTCATGTCAGCCAAATATTATTCCTATTGTAACTTCCATCTATGTTTTCTACTAGCCCCTTCCCGTCACCTCGTAAATACATGCCAGTCTCGCCATTAAAAGAATAAACAGCTATTTCTTTAACCCCTGAGGTTCAACAATGTCTGCCTTGTTGAAGATGACGCAGAGCAGAGCGCCTCCCCGCAGCCGAGACTGCCAGACGTGTGAGGAGAGAAATCAACCTTTGTGATTTTAGTACACTGAGGTTTTAGAACTGTTTGTTGCTGCATATTAATTTAACACATTTTAACTAAGAGCAAAGGCATAAGAATGTCGCTTATATACCTATTATACACCCTTCCTTTCATTTTGTTTACAGATTTATTTATTTATACAAGAGCTGGGGTACAGGCCAGAGGCGCGGGAGGGTGAGAGGATTCACCAGAGCCAGAGCGGGGAGCAGAACAGACAGACTGACAAAACACACTGCCGAGGGGAGCAGCGGGCGAGACAGGAGAGGTCTGTCGCGCCATGTGGGAATCTCCCCGGCCTGGACCTGCGCAACAGAGGCTGCGGACAGCTCCACAGCGCTGCACTCAACCTGCTGCGCCACTGGGTAGGAGTATTTTCTGGTTGACCATTTCTACCACCTCCAGGCCAACTCCTGAAAACTCCCCATTGTACTCACCACTCTGGGAAACACAGCATTCACGCTACCAAACCTCGCACATACTTTTAACATTACATGTTATTGTCTCGCCCCTTCGCAGGCAGCAATTCCAGAAGAACGTGTAACTAACAGTGACTAGCGCGGACACAGGAGCCTGCTCGCCCACTCGGAGCTCAGATGCCCCTGGAACAGGCCCTCACGCACTGTGTCTCATTCGCCTCATGCGTCCAGCGGGAACAACAGTACCGACCCCACCCATCTGTCATGAAGATCATAAACGCAAGATGATGGTAACGGCGCCAGCACCGGGAATACCATATTGACGGTAATTACTAGCCTCCATATGCTTTTATTGGTGTTATGATGATTGGTGACGCTCATCTTTCTGAAACCTCTTACACCTTTGCTCTATGAGTCAAAATGCGATAAATTAATATGCAGCAACAAACAATTCTAAAGCCTCAGTGTACTAAAATCACAAAGGTTGATTTCTCTCCTTACACGTCTGACAGCCTCGGCTGTGGGGTGGCCTCTGCTCTGCGTCATGTCCAACAGGCTGGATAACGACGGTCACTATGGCCAGGAGAAAGCAACGTGGCGAATCACAGGCCGGCTCTTAAAAGTTGCCCATCTTCTGTCAGAAGCAGTGCACGGTATGCCCACATGCTGGTGGCAGCCCAGGAAAGTCATGGACCCACACCACATGCCCCAAAGGAGGTGAACAAGAACCCCTGAAGCAGCAGTGCCAACATGCTCATTAACACGTCCTTATTGTCCCTCTTGCTCGCCTCCTGTATAGCTTCCGTCTCCCTTCTGCCCTGGTGGCAGTGAAACGGCCACCTCCGTTCACACAGCTGGCCCGCGTGCCGATAACAGTACATGCTACAGCTCTCGCCTGCATCCCTCCCTCATCTTAAGACGTGTATATCCGTCTCCTATTACGCTTCTATCCCTTGGTAATCTACAAGCTTCTCAAACTAAAACAAAAACAAAAGCAAAATGCGGCAGTGACTATGTCTCAATAATCGACTGAAACAAAAGTGGCTTGAACTTACTAATTAAAAGGTACCGCGTGGCTACATAGATCACAAAACAAACTCCAACTCTCTTGTTTATAGGAGACTCTTCTTAGTACCAAAGACAAGCACAGACTTAAAGGCTGAAAGACAATCCAACCAGCAAATGACAAAAAAATCAGCAGCGGTTATACTTCTGTCAGATAAAATAGATTGCCGCTTAAAACGTAATGAGAGAGACATTGACAGTACAGTAGGATTAAGGACCACAACAAAAAGAAATGGCGCATAATATATATGCACCAATGCTAGAGCACCCAGTGATGTAAAGCAATCATTAATATAATGAAAGAGAGTGAGAACAGCACAATACTACTAGGTGACTTGGTGCTCCAGTTACAACCAGGCACAGAGGAGAAGTAAGCAAACAACAGCTTTAAATGAGGAGTTAGGCCAGTAGGCTTCATCAACACATCTATGGGACACTCCTCCCAGGACTGCAGCGTATCCATTTGTTTCCCAAGTGCGAGGACACAGGGACACAGAACAGACCACACGTGGGGTCACTAGGCAATGATCAGTAAACTTACGAACATTGGGATGACACGCAGCCCTCTTTCTGATCATCATGCCATAAAGCCAGAAATAACTGATAAGGGAAGAAACCTGAGGAAACCTTAAACTTGACAGAATTTCCAGTGCTATCTTCAAACATGCTGCTTTCAAGCCTAGTCCTACCCCTGGTATATGATAGACGCGCGGGGGGTATGAGTGGGGGGTGCCCATTCTCTGACCTCATTGTGTACAGGAGGGTTCCATTGTCCACCAGTCTGAGCAGCTTGTTGGGTGTGGTCATGTTATGGGCCACCGATTTCTTGCCATTGTGGAAGAAGGTATCAGGGGTCCAGATCTTACTAGCCAAGAGATTGTTCAGGGGCAGGATCTTCATGGGCCCATCAAATTTCAGCCTTTCATCGTGCCACGTCTGTCGGAAAAATACATCGATGGTGTACTCCTGAGAACAAAAGAGAGAGAACAAGACTTGAGTTGCAAGGAGGATCCACTGAGCCTTTAGCCAGTATCAGTTACCCTGCGCTCTCCCCTGTGGTGCAGAGAACGTGCTGAGCAGCAGGCATCAGTGGCGGTGGCTGCTGAGGACAGTGAACGATTATGACTGAAAAGTCATGCTGCGGGGCAAGTGCAGACAACACTTCTGAAGGAAATCTGCTTAGGGACATCGCTGTCAATACTGGCCTGCATATCACCCAGGCTGGCAGCAAGAGCGCCCTGCTCTTACAGCGGGTCTCGGGTCAGAAGCAACCCCTGGTCTCCACCTAACGTCCCAGGTGAGCGTCCAAGAGCCATCTGTCCATCAGCAGCAAACCAAAACCTGAAGTTTCCAGACATGTTTCATTCAAGCCTTCATGCCTGATGTAACTTTATTAGCCTTAATAAATCACATGACAATGAAAGAAACACTCAATGTTTGAGCTTTGGGTAAGCGCAGACTAAATTATCTGCATATGCCTTCCTGAAGCTATGAATTATAAAATTTTCAGTGTGTGTGCCTATGGGGGAGCAGACTATTTGAAAGCACTGGGGGGCAGCTGAAAGCACACAGACACTTGAAAGCTTATGCTTGGAAGACGGCAGCAACCACTGAGTTTGTGGCTTTTCTTCACTGAAGGTGAGCCCCAAAGCTAGAATTTCCAAGGCAGATACCTACAGCCATTAATGGCTCAAGGTGGCAAATAATCAAGAAAGTTGGGGCTGGAGAGGAAAAACAAGAGAGAAAGTTGGCGCTGGGAGCCCTGGAAGGAAGAGAGTCGCAGAGAGGACGGAAGGTCCAGAGCAGGCCCAGGCGCTTCCCCACACCCGGTGGACCAGCACAGCGCACTCACAGGAGGGCCCTGGGACTCCACTGAAAAATTTCAGGTAGAAACAGTAGGGGAGTCTCGCACGGAACCGTGTCAGGTGCCGGCCACCAGCAGAGCCCTCCTCTGTACAATGAGGCCGGAGCCGTCAGCTATCTGGTGCTGCCTGTGGTGGGCACGGCTCAGCTGTAAGTCTAGACGATATGCGTGGAAGTAACAAGGAAGAAAAGCAAATTCAGGTTGTGGCTAAGCCAGGGAGGGAGGCAGAGGAATGGGGTTCCGTTCATCTGTAGCTTTAATCTTTTTTTAAAATATGAAAAGATGGGAAAATTTTTAAGTCTTTTAAAAAATGTGGGTGATGGGCCTCCCTGGTGGCGCAGCGGTTGAGCGCCGTGCTGCGAAGCTGCCCGTGGCCTCTGCAGTGCGGGTTCGATCCCCTACCGCCAGCAAGGGTCCCACATGGTGTGCAGACCTCTCCTGCCGCCCGCTGCTCCCCTCAGCAGTGTATTTCGTCGGTCTGCCTGCTCTGCTCCCCGCTCTGGCTCTGGTGAATTCTCTCACCCTCCTGCGCATCTGACCTGTACCCCAGCTCTTGTATTAAATTACATCTTTTAAAAAATTCAATGAAAAAATAATTAGGGAGGGAAAAGGAAAAAAAAATGTAGGTGATGAGTACCCATCTTTAAATATCTTTTTCTCTACACAGTCAAAACTACTGGGGCAAATCACATCGTAATTATTTGGTTCACAGTAAGCCATGATCTTTGGTTAAAAGCAACCTGATTTTGAGTTGACCATTCTAGAAATGCGATCAATTGCTTGCTTACAAATGGAGCTCAGTATAGTCTGCATGGGTGGCTGCATCTAAACTGACAAATGAATTTTGTTGTTTCGTGAGGAATTTAAATTAAATCTTCCAGATCATAAGCATAAGTCTGCCTCCTGGGAAAGGAACTTAAAACATTTCCCACCGTGGGCAGAGATGACGCGCAGGTCTTAGAAAAGGACGTCTGGCTTGGTGTCAGAGACTGAAAGTGCTCAGTGCTCCTGACCACACAGGACTGGGATCCAAGCAGGCTGAGAAGGGGCAAACAAAAGGGATTCAACTTTGGCAGGGTCCGGGGCAAAGGCGCTTGACCGGTGAATTTCAGGGTGAAGTCAGCTGCACCAAAAGCGGGAGCTAGAGTGCTCTGCACAAGCCGAGAGCCGAGCTCCTGTCAGCTTGGTATGGGAACTCGGAGTCAAGCGACAGGTGGCTCGTATCCAGGACAGGCAGCTCGGTGCAAAAGCCTGGCAGCCACTGACCCTGCAGCCCATGTGAGACAAAGCTTTGACTCCTGACTGGAGACTGCTGTCTGACAGGTTCCGAGGGAGGAGTGCAGCTCCTGCGGCGAAGTTGGCAGGTGACGGAGGCGCATATGCCACAGCCCGCGCTAGAGCCCTGCGCCCTCAGCAGTGAGACTCGGCAGTGGCTGCAGGGAGCTGTTCCCACGACAAAGGGGCTGATGGATCATCCAAACTTCTAACATGTGGTACTTCTTTAGGGATGTTCCAAAAGGTGGAAACGGTGGGGCCTAAGCCCCAGAAAGGCCCGGTCGAGTCTTCTGAACGGCCCGAGCAGAGCTGCGGTCGAGCGGCAGCAGCGGCCCCGCCGCCCTGTGCGCGTCCTCCGCTTCCCGCAGGCGGCAAAAGGCCCGGGCGCGGGAGGGGCGGCGAGCGAGGGCGGGACGGCCTGAGCTTGTGCCTTTTCCTAATCACAGAAGCCGCTGCTGCTCCCCCGTTTAAGACCTAGGGGAGCGCAGGGGCTGAGTGAACGGCCAGCCGAGCCGAGGAGACGTGGGAGGGAAAGATGCTCGTGGTCGCTGCGGCTCAGAGGGCGGCGACCGCCCGCGGCGGCTGGGGCGAGGGAGACCCGCGCGCGCCACGAAAGCGGGAGGATTTACCTTCAAAAAGCTGAAGACGGATCAGCGGCGAGGCCAGCGGCGCCACGCCGGGCGTGCGCGAGGCAATCCGCGGCGCGCAGCACAAAGCGCGTGCCAAGTGCGCGCGGCGGTGTCTCCCACGGCCGAAGCCCGGGACGAGCAGCGCAGGGAAGGGCTCCGCGCCCACGGCGGCCGCAGCCGTTTCCTAAGCGCACGGAGCCGGAGACTGGGGTGCGGGCGGGACGCGGCGGGGGGAACCAGCAGCGCGACGGGCCACGCGAGCCACGGGCGTCCGTGGCAGCCACTTGTGCAGAGTCCACGGGCGTCGTCACAGAAAAAGGAGGCGTCGTCGCCCGCGCGGTGAACGGCAGGCGCTGGGGGTCCCCAAAGTCGCAGGAGCCGGGGGACCGCGCCGTTGGGCAACATGGCATCCGCTGCGCGCCGTGCAGAGACGCCGCCCCGGGCAGCAGGGACAGCCGCCCGGATCCCGACGGTGCGGAGGCGGCACCCGGCACGCGGAGCCTTGCGGCAGCCTTTCCAGCGCACGACTCCCGCCGCCCGCCGCAGCACTCAGGGAAGACGGGGTGCCACCCTGCGCCGGTCGCCGCTGCTCTGTCCCGGCCACCCGCGCTTCGTGGCTCTCCGGGGATGTCGCAGCCGCGCTGGCGGCAGGAGCACCTGCTTGCCGCGGAGCCGTGAGCAGCACAGGCGAGCGCGGACCAACTGCCCACTCCCGCTGCCGCGACAACAGCCCCCCTGGTGGTGGGCGAGGGGCTCAGCCAGGGAGTCGCGCGGGAACGGCGGCCATGGAGCCCAGAAAGACACGTCATCGCCTCCCCACCCCTTGGGACCCCCAAAACCAGAATAATGCTCATGACGTAATGGGACTCAAAACGAATGGTTGGGCAGCCGCGCGGGGTATCCCTGCCGCCGACGCCCGCACACGCCTGCTGGACGTCAGGCCCAGGGAAGGGCTAGAAGGACACTCGCGAGGCGCCTCGCAGAGCCCGGCTTCGCCAGGACCCCCACGATTCCAGTGACGCGGCACACTTTTATTCTGCCAATTCTCAGAGATACTGTCAAAGTGCTTCCGTCCAGGCACAGGGGTCGCCCACGCAGACAGTGGCGAGGACACTCACAAGGGGAGCTCCTCCACTCGCGTGTCACAATGGCTGCCCCTGCGCTCGGTCCTTCGGGCCGATCAACCACCTTCTAGTTCCCCGCGCCTTTGTCTCCCAAACCCACGACCCTCGCCCGCGAGCCATCGCCATAGCACCTCGTCCTCCCCCGCCCCCTGCCCGCCCCCCCGCTCCCTCCTCCCCCCCCCATCCCCATGTCCGATTTATTTTCCAGGCGCTACATCTGAAAGGACAAAGCAAACTGTACAAACATGAATAATGACGTAAAATATATACGGAAATAAATACGAAAAAAACAAACCACGAAACCCTTATGGCGTGACTGGCTTCATCTCCGCACAAAAAGGACTCGAGCTAAGCACTAACCCCACTGCTCAAAAGCAGGACCGGTGGAAATCCGAAACTACTTCACCTATGTGCACATTCAGAAAAACAAAGCTAGACAATGCATGGAAATGCAGGAGCTAATGAGCAGCTTGACGTTTCCTAACCAGCGGACAAAACTGTCCCCTCAGGCCTGAAATCTGACCCGCCGGGGTGGGGAGGAGCTGGAGACACGCCTGGACCGCCTGGACCGCTCCGGGCAGGCGCCATGTTTGCAAGTCCCCATCCCTATTATTTATTCTCTTTTCACTGGAAAACGGAGGGTCCTGACGGTTAAAAATTCTAATATAGAGTTAATAAAAATGAAACATCTTTGTACGAAACATGTTTTCCATAAGAAAACATAAGCATCCCATTTTTATTAAGGATAAAGGAAAATAAATGTATATCCAACGTAATCAAAATAAAAAAATTATTTCCAATAAGAAATAACATAAAAGGCATACATTTTCCTTTCACAAAGAAAATGAACTCCAAGTAAAATAACTACTCCAGTAAAAAATCTGAAAAAAAGCTACATAAACATAAGAAATGACACAAGATTATGAAATAGAAGCCTTAAAAAAATTATGTGTGCTCAAACTAAGGTTGCAATAAATTTCTTTAATGTGTATTTTTAACTAGTCTCAGTAAAAAGGACAGTGTTTTCTTCAATGTTAACGTATTCTTGATAAGACATTATGAAAGGATTTCCTT